CCACGCGGGGCCGGCAGCGCTCCCAAAGGCCTTTCAGCCGCCTGTTTTGCTCCGCAGGTGTTAGGTAGCCGCCGTTTACTTGCTTGGAGGTCTGACCCTAAGGCCAGGAAATGGGTTGGGATATTTTAATTTCCCAATTTTATTATCTCTTTCTACATTTCACGTTTTTGTAAGCAGTTGCCTGCAGAGTATAAATGAGTAACTTAAGCTTAACTACCAGCATAGCTTAATATTCTTTTTTTTTAAGTACAAAACTTTATTAAACTTGATTTAAACTTTTAAAATATACTATAGAATTATGCAAAATATCAAAAGAGCTCTTTATGTGATATTACAGCTATCCTAGAAGTTATAATTCCTATGGCCTCATAGTTTTCTCACCCCATGTTGGACTGCCCAGAAGCCCTGAAATAACGTGTTTTCTTCACAGCTGCCCAGAAAAAGGTGAAGTTCTTTGTTAGGAAGAAAGAAGTTGGTGCATGGACTGGTCTTCACCTAGGCCCAAGGTATCGTTTGGAGGGGATGAAAATACAGGGCCAATAATGATATGGGTGAAAAGAAACCTTATTTGAATCCCACCCTTTATGAACCACACCAGTGTCCTAGCTCTGCTTCATACAGCAGGGCCGGTTTGGCAGGGACCAATGTTATAGCAAGCCCAGCATAGAACTATAGGGTCTTGAATGCATACTGGCATTGGGTAAAAGGCGGTGCTGTTAATAGCCCTATTAATCTCTTTCTGCACCACAGATCCTAATATTTACCAAGCATAATACAGAAATAGCCTAGACTGCTAATTATCTGAACTGTCTGCATGACCCTGCTTAAAATGTATTGGTGTTACAATGTGATACAGCTAGCTGCAGAGTAATTAAAACATTCCATTTTCACTGCCAAGTGACACAATTCACTGTTAAGATTTTGAATAAGTTGTATTATTTGAAGAATAAAATACAAATTACATTTAATTAATCAACTGATAAATGGATTTACTTAAACTCATAAAAACATAGTGTTCCAGAAAAAGGGGATCTTATCTGAAAGGGTAAGTTCTTTGTAAATTATAACTGTAGCTTACTGCTTCAAGTTGAGAACTCCCTTATGCCTAGGAAATCTGCCCATTTTTTTTCTAGGAAAATACTATAATAATCTTATCCAGTAGAATTTAATTCAGCATTTCATAGCTTCTTATAGGTGAAAGTTCGTCTTGCAAACATCTGAAAATTCAGTCTTCAATAGGCACATAGTATGCTGATTTTTCTAGCACAAAAAACAGACACTGAGTAAAAAAATGGAAGTAATAAATAAAGTGCATTTGTTGAAAGGAAAATAGCTTTAAAAATCACATACAGAATCCAGAGGTATCCTGTCTTTTTGTTCCACAAAAGACCATAAATTCACTGTGGTGTATGACTGGTGAGTAAATTACAGTATTTTCCCCCATGACTTGCTCCCTTTTTAAGCTTCCTGGGAATAAATCTTTCACAAGTAATTTCTGGACTATCTGGTATTGATTATTTTAGCACAAGTGGATGATTCCTCACCAGGGTGAGCAAAAGAAACAGGCATACCACTTTTTTTTTTTTCAGATGTTTCTAGCAATGCATGTCATGAGACTGCTGGCCCAAGGCAAACGAGAGAATCAGAAGCACAATATAGGTATCGAGACAATTGGCATCTTATTGAGTTGTCTGCATCAGAGATCACCATGTCTTCGTGGACCCCTTTTGCCTCTTTGTTCTAACTATTTCTTAGAGTTGGTAGTCGGGCCAAAGCAGGTAAGGAAGAGCTGGTGGGGCAAAATATTAGTCAGAAAGGGAAAACTGAAGAAAAGCAGCAAGTTAGGATACAAACTGGGGTTACAGAAAGCAGCAGTAATAAAATGGATTTCAGGAATACCAGTTTGTTGAACTTGAAAAGGAGAAAAATGTGAGTTTTAGAGAAGCATATTGGTATTTCTACTAAGTTGATGCATTTCCCTTAATGAAAATACAGAGAGGGATAACAATGGAAAATTAGAGAACTCCAATAAATGCAACTTCCAGACAGGGAATTGGGCAGGAAATGGGTGTTGTCAAGGCTGAGAATGGGAAATGTAACAGATGAGAGAGTTGAGGCTTTGTTTTTCGATGTGAATTGTTCAGGAATAGGAGGAGTTGCCTCTGTTGCTCTTACCTAAATGGGGGAAAACGTCACGACTTGGAACCGTGGGGCATTTTATTGGTCAGTATTCTGAGGACAGCAACCATAGTTCTGGCCTATAGCCAATATAAGAACAGGCTATCAGTTCAGCTAAAAGTTAATTTATTTGACCCCATGTAAAATTCCCCTGAATAGGGTTATTTTCTTGGCATATGGATTACTCATCATAAATATGACTATGGTAAGAAAAATGAGAAAAGCAAATAGTCTCATGATCGGGGCAAGTATTTCTAAATGAAGTAATTCAGAATTCCTCACAGTACAGATATTCCCTACATATTTCAGCTGAGTAGTGTCCTCCTGAGTCACATGCTGTTTGCATAGTTGATCTGCAAGTTAGACCTGCTCAGGCAGTAGCATGTGCAGTTTGTGTGTTTCATTTCACCAAGACACTTTCTAAGTTTTACAGGTGTGAATCAGCATTCACACATTCACTTGAGTTTTTTTCCTCATTCTTGACCCAGTTCAAGTTTGTATATACATCTGCCTGGCCTGTGTAATGTGGAAAACCATTACAAGCCGAATAGCATGCAATAACTGGTGATTATTTTTCTTTTTATTTTTGTCTCAATATATGTGGAATTGGGATGTGGCCTCTCTATTATCTTTGCACTGAAGTTTTATTTAATTACATGCACATACTGCCTAATAAGACAGTTCTTATTAATAACGTAATTTCTATGATGCCTTTGGCAACTTTAAGTGTTTATGAGTGAGGGCTGAAAGATTAGTCTTTAGTCAGCATTTTATTGCAGTGTATGTTACTAACAGATGAAACTGTGTGAGGACTTTTGTTTTTAGCTGTAGACAAAAACATATGTGCAGAGGGCATTTAGACCAGCACACACTGCTTAAACCTTGAAAATATTTCCAAGCCATATAAAAATAAGACCAACAGATTTTTTTGTTAAAGAGACTTGCTTGAATTGGAAAGGCTTAAAATAAATGATCATATGATTAAAAAAAGCAAGGATTGCCTGCTATTTGTTGTAGCCCCTATTTCTGTCCCGCCCCTGCAGCCAGAGGAGCAGCTGTTCATTGCTGACATTCTCGCTGCCAGGCATTCCAGCTCCCTGAGGTCATGGGCTACAAGCATACGGGCCTTTGCTTTAATTCTTTCAGCGTATCCTTCCGCATGGATAGCGCGAGGGGAACGCCTCCAGGAACAGAAATTAAATGCACACACACAGAGCCACGCAGCAACGTGCGGTTTGAAAATATTCCAGAGGAGGTATTTTGCGCTCATGCAGCACAGCATCACATGAGAGGGGCTGCCTCAGGAGCTGCCTGGCGCAGGTTTCTTTCGCTGTAGTATTTTCTTCCACCCCCAGCTCTTCGCCGAGTGGAATGATATCCAGAGCAAGTTTTTTGAGACAGGAAGTGAGGAATGTTTTCACTATGAGTGGTCTGAGAGGAAGGTGGGTTAGCGGAGATAGCAGCTGCTTGGTGCAAGAGGAGCACAATAAGTCAGTTTGCAAGGAATACAGATGAGATGGCTCCAGGAGAACAACTTGCAACGTGCCGTGGGGGTTTCTCAGCTACACATATGTGAAAGGAGACTTGGAGTCTTTGGATCGCTGCAAAAGGTAATGAAAAAATGGCAAGCACCACGTTAGAGAAAATAAGTAAATAGCGGGTGATCTTCTCTGATGTGTACTTTAAGGTTGAAGAGTTCCAAGCATGTATTGTTTGAAAGGTAAAGACTGTAGATCTGTTTGCATCTTTGTTTCTGGACACAGGGGAGGTTCAGTATGTGCACTTGGTGCTCTCTTTTAGTCCAAGAGTCAAGTCAAATATTAACTGGTAAAACAAGAGGAGGGTGGAGTGTTCTGATTTTGGGGCTTTTCCAATATCTCTGAAAAAATATGTATTTGAAGCATTTGAATTAGTAGGGACTCTATTTCACTTTCATGTGTTGCAATTTATTTTGCAGGATGTCATTCATGCAAATGGCATTTAAAATCTTTTTAGAGTAAAATATTAATTATTGAGAGGAAAGTGTGAGGTGGAGGTAAAGAGGGAAGGTATCACGGGCTCAGTAATTGTTTGAGTCACAGCCACGTTGTGGAACTTCTAACATAACATTTTTAAATGTACATGTTTATGTTGAAATATAAATGTACAAAGTTTGACCGCTTTGTGCTGAAGTGAGGACATTCTTAGCTGTTGGGTGAAAATCCCGGGCCGGCTAAATAAGGCTTGTTATTGAAGAGTCAGTCAATATGCAACTCCTGGCAATTCCATGTGTTTCCCTTTTGCTGAAGTGGCTTTGCAGCAGTTTAGATGTATACTCATTTAAAATAATGCACAAGCCAAACACAAAAGCAGCTCACACTGCAAAATGACAACCAGCTAAATAAAAGCAGCACTGCACCGTTTGTAAGAAATATGCAGGGCTAGTTATAAAAGCCTTTGAATGATACCTCCTGGTTATTCTCCAAAGTTTTGTCTACAATATTAATAATGAAAATTACTTCATACTTGTGCTGAGTTAAAACAAAATTGTTTGGGACAATCAGCTGAGCAAGATATGCAAGTGGTAGAACCTATCCTTTGAAAATTGTGATTTGAACTTCCTTCCTATGTCCGCTTCTATATCTATGTGCATAGAGAAGCCAGGAAGGTTTGAGATTGTCAGATGTCAGCATTAGATTGCCTGTGAATTTCACCTGGCAGGTCAGCCTCCATTAGTGAATTTTTTCCATGCTTTTTGAATACTTTTCCAAGGGTCCCATGGGGATCAGAGAGTGTGAAAGGTGTACATGTTGAATATTCTACATAAAGAGATCTAAAGCAGCACTGTGCTTCTGACTGCAGTTTTCAATTTGTTTTCTCTCATAACTGTAGCAACAAAGGGAAAAAAAAGCACAATTGTGCACAGAACGTGTTGGAAAACAGGCCTGGGGAAGTGAGCTAAGATCAGTCAGCCAAAAGTTTCCCTGCCAGGAATAAACCCGGTGTGAGATTGTGCTGGGAGTGGGCAGGAAACTGTCTGTGGAGCATTCCCTGCATGCTGCTCTTTGGGGGTAGGATTTGGAGGCTCAGTGTGCAAAGTAATAAAAAAGGAGGCCTCGCATATCCCTAATTTTTTTTTCAAGGAAAACTGTTGCTATCAGTTGTTATTTGTTCTGTAGCTTCACTCAGAGAAAATCCTGATGTTTAAATGAAATGTTTTTTTTTCCCTTCTGATTCAAACTGTATTAATTAATAAATAAGATTTAGGATGCAATCTGCTGGGGGAAGAGGAAAGCGAGATGGCAGAAGGGCAGAACTGCTTCCAGATTATGGAAAGCATGGACATGAAATGTGCTGATGGCCGCACTTTGAACAGGCTTGCAAAGATGTCCCTGAGGAGAAATGCCACTCGGCCTCCTCTTCCTCCTGGTTAGACCTTAAGCCTCTTTGTGCTTCTCTCTATTCCTTGCCATTATGCTTAAAAGAAAGCCCCATGCAGCCAAGCAGGAAAAAATCAGTCCAAAGGGTTTCCTTGTGTTTATGATACTAATTTATAGATATGTGTACAAGTGGCGTGGGACATTTTTTTAATGTATCTATGATGAAGAGACTGGAAACAGCTGTGCTAGGAATACTAGCCCCTCTGGTTTGCCTGCTTCCCCCCAGATAAATGAATATATGAATGCCCTTCCAATCTGGAAGACGCTTCAGAAATCCGTTTATGCTTTTTGAAAACAGACTTCTAATGCACACTAGCATTAGAAAAATAAAAAATAAAAAATAAAATAGAAAAGAGGGTTTGGCAGGGCAGCGCTGCTGCCACTAGAGGTGCCAAGGCAACACTAGGACCCCAAACGGGAACGGAGCCGGTGGGGATTCGCACACCGGCTCCTGTCCTGCCTGCCCTCCCTTGGTCCTGCTGTCTGAAATTCAGCACGAGGTGGAATAGGACATTTCTAAAGCCAGGGAGTGAGCGGCAAGAAAAGCCTGGGAAGGTGGAGTGGGGAGAAAGGCTAAATCTGTGTGTCAGGGAGCTGCTGGGAGAGGAGGGGTGAAGGTGTTTGCAGAAGGTGGGGAGTGGGTGGCTACCTTCAGAATAAACATGCTTTTCAGGGAAAAGTTAGGAAAAGAAATTTCTGGTCATCAGGTTGCTGGCAAGGGCAATATTGTACAAAATGCTGTAAAGCTGCTTAGCGCAGGGAATGAACTAGCTTCAAGTCATGAAAAATTAAAGGAATCAGGTTTTAATTGACTGGTAGGAAACAGTTAAGATGCCTTTCTTCCTGCTCCTGACCCTCTCTGTCTCTCTCTCTCTCTCTTTTTTTTTTTTTCCTTTAATCTTCTGTTAGGCTTGAGCCTGTATTTAATCCAACATATAGTGGCTGAGATTGCACACTGTGCTGGAAATAATGCTGGGTTGCTAGTTTTGCTCTTAAATGAAATAGTTTTGCTTGCAAATGCATGCGTTTTCTAGAGGTCTTTCATTTAAATAATGATTGAGTTTAGAATCTTCTTATTTTTAAGGCACTTCAGTTGCATTTGATTAAGGTCTGTTCACTTACTGAAGAATAAAATTAACCTGCCAAAGACTGGTGTTGTCTGTGGAAAAACCAGAAACTCTGGTGCGTATTTTACTATTTGAATGCATAACAGCTCAGTGTTTTGGAGAAGCAGACTGTTTAGATTTAGAAAAAATATACCTGTTAGTACCCATACTTGCACTACCCCTTCAGTCAGGTTGTTTCTGATTCTTGCTTGTTCTCTTTCACTCCATGCTAGATTTGCAGTGGATGCCCCTTCTACTTCTCTCCTCGTGGGAAACTCACTCGTCTTTAATGGATACTGCTGCTGCTGGTTGATCTTTGGAGAGTCCACAGCTGCTTATTTTTGAGAGGAGGCAGCTACTTGCCCCTCCTCATCCTGCCAGTGGTGGTATCTTTTTATCGCTAACCATCCCTGTGGAAAAAGAAGATGCCTCTGCCTTTTGGGTTAAAGTTGAAACGAACTCGACGTTACACGGTATCCAGCAAGAGCTGCTTGGTGGCTCGTATCCAGCTCCTCAACAATGAATTTGTGGAGTTCACGCTGTCGGTGGAAAGCACGGGCCAGGAAAGTCTGGAAGCTGTGGCTCAGAGGCTGGAATTGCGGGAGGTAAGTGAGCGGTCGGAGGCAACGCGGCTTCATCTTTGCCGCGAGATTACACATCTGGTGAACCCTTACCACTTCGGGCAATATTTGCTGGAGCAACTCACCAGTGTGTCACTTGGGTCTTTGTGCTCTGGCTGGAGGGGCACTTGGATTCCAAAACAGACGCAGAATTTATGTTGCAGAGTTAGGGAGTACCTAATGGAATGACATGAGAAGTGTCAGTGAAAATAAGCCTAGTGTGACAACCAAAGCAACATCTGTGGTCATTTGGAAACCTGACAATGCTGTAAATGCTTTAATGTCAAAAAGAAAAGGCTGTTTTCTGACCCAAACAACACAGATTAAGAGTTACTTGGAGATTTGATGTTACTTTTAGCTTATGATATATTCATTTTACCTTCAAAAAGCTATTCTGCATTAAGAAAATGTTATTTGTATGTATGTATTTTCGAGAAACTAAAGCACGAAGTGTGGCACATGTACCATTTACCATCTATTTGTTTTCTGTGTTCAGATACCACAAATCTGCAGAGAGTATCTTTGAGCAAGCACTTAGTCATGGCTGGCCTCTTGGAGATGCATGGTTTGTACTAGCTGCATCACTATAACTGCATCTAGAGCTGCATCTCTATAATCCTCAATCCCTCAAAAAAAGACTTTTTGCAGGATTCCTTTGCATTTATTCTGAATTCCTTAGAAATTTTCTCTTCTCCCACATATTTTACACTTACTCATTCTCCTGTCTTGGATGAGTTAGTTCTGAAATGTTGAACTGTGAAATGTTAAAGAATTCTATGTAGATTACCAAATTGCTCTTTTGAAATTTTCTTGACTACAGAGGTGGATTTAGTTACAGTGGCTGAATGCTCTTTATCCTGTGTAAACTGTCATTTCTTACGGGAGTTTCTAACACTTTAATTCACTGGGTAGTCATTCAACTGTTTGTGACAGCATTTACAGATTTTGTGGCACAGCTGAGAGTGGAAACTGTTAATAAAAGAATAGGTTGCCTAAAACTGTGTATGAAAAAAATACTTTTGCTCTATTATATGGTGCACCACACAATGGTGTTTTAAATACAAGATTCAAATACAGGATGCAAATCCAAGTATTAGATGACCAAGCCAGAAGAGGGCTCATAGGGAAATAATCTTTAGTTAATAACTTTGATTTTTGGAACTGTTATATCTTCATTGCTTATCTTACAGCCTTGCTTAAATTTGAGCAAACAAATTGATGGCCCAGTCTTGCAACCGTTTTGGAAGAATGCAGTTTTACAGAGCCAGTATGACTTCATCATTTTTTGTTCTTTCTAGCAAAGCAAGTCTAATTATTCTCGTGGCCCTAACATACACTTGATATCAACACACATCTGATATCATGTATTTATATTTCAGCCGTTGTGTTCAAATGGAGTTTGTCAATTTAATCTACCCACTTTCAGACGTCAGTTATAAGTAGATGTAAGTAGATGAAAAACTTAAATTTATTTGGCCTACAGAAGTCAAAGGCTCTATCTTCCTGAATGATGGCCTGTATCACTTCATCATCTCTTTATTTGGAGCTCTGCTCCTAAAATCTTTTTTTTTTTTTTTTAAGTAATTCCCTCAATTAGGAGTCATATATCAGAGTGAGGGAGTTGACAGTATACTATTGAACTTTGAGCAGATTCCTTCAGTCATGCATTCTTGTGTGGATTATTTTGGCAGGAAAAAGTGTTGCAATAAAAGGGAATGGAAAGTAGGGATATAAATCACTTTCCAGAACTTGCCTTCAGAAAATGTTGTTTTGCCTTTAAATAGTCATTTTTTGCCAAGCAGATACTGGATCATTCCTGACTGCTTGCTGAGCACAAAGTTTTCAGGGGGAAAAATGTGCTCAGTATGTTGCTTAAATCTGCCAACAGCAACATTAGGCCTTAATACTGTGAAATGCTGAATACTTTCTGCAGATGCTGCACTAAGCACCCTGAAACCACATGCATTTGGGCTGAAAGTGTTAAGAGATTTAGCTCCCTTATGAAAACTGAAACATCCATTTCAAATATGGGTATATGGGATATGTAGTTATGATATTCGGGTCATATACAGCTTCAGGAAAGTTTATTGCAGAAGGTATAAGCTGAATCTCTACCTTTGTAGAATGTTTAAACATAGAATGGTAACAGTTATAAATGTTGATTTCTGTATTGGAGGGTATTATTTCTGAATTTGGGTAGCAATGCAATGGCTTATTTTTAATCTTGTGACATCTTTTAAGATAGTTGTTGCAACAGATTTTATTTTGTTTAAAAGAATAGTCTTTGAGTTATGACTAGAAAGTAGGTTTTATTTTGTTTTTCCAGATTTCCAAATTGCATTGTATATGAGTAGGGATTAATGAGTTATGTAGATTAAGTATGTTGGCAGTTTAATTTTGTTATTTTGTAAGCCTACTAAAAAAATAAAATAAAAGGTAAAATGAATACATTAAAACAAGAATATGTTCTGGTATTCCCAGAATGTGACTCATCAGCAATGGGAATGTGATCCAACTCCCTTAAACTGAGAAACTGGGGAAAGAAGCCAAGGGAGGAAGAGAACATAAGTTATTTACCCTTTGTAGAACAGCCTGTCTTTTATCCTGTGAGTGATGTATAACCAAACTTGATTTATGGGAAAAGCTATCTTTATTGCCCAAGTAGTATGTTCTGGTATTGCAAGTTTGCAAAAAATGCTGAGAGCTGTGGTTGTAACCAGCTTGGAGAAAGGGTGTGATACTCTGCACATCTTGCATCTAGGGTATGAGGATACAAATCAGGTGCTTGAAAATACAAAAATGTTCTAAATGTTACCACTGCTAGATATATGTGGGATGTTTGGCAGGAGATGTTAAGACTGACTTGCCTCTCTTCTTGCATCTTCTTTTATTTCTCTTTTCTTACACTGCTAATTTACCAGAGTGAAGGTGCAAATTTTGCTACTGTTTTGTACAAGCAGAGTCTGACTCCAGATGTGGTAGAGAGTTGGCCCCAACTGCAACAGTTGATGGTATCCAAAGAGGCGGGGGGCAGGGGGAGCAAATGTCTCTATTGGTAAACATATTGACTGGCAAATAAAAGTTGGATCAAGCAATGTCAGAGTGGTAACTAACATAATTATGTTTATGCTTTCTATCAGTATGATATAGGCTTGTGTAATGCTTAGAGAAATAATAGAGGAAGTAGAGCTGAAAGTAGGACTGTTATGGCTGCCCCTCAAAACCTAATTCTACTTGAAATTAGGAGAGGAAAAGCTTATGAAGTTTATCAGGAGGTATATAAAAAGGCAAAACTTCAATGTATTTAATCTTATTCATTTAAAAGCTACTACTTTTCCAGAAAAAAAAATCTGTCTAGAACATACATTAATTACAAATGTGTTGTTATAGCAATTTAGGAGCCAGAATTTTAGAGAACTAAAAATTAGTAGCTGCCTTAAATGCAATTACTGGGGTTCTTCCTTTATTGAAGGGGGGAAAAAAAAGAGTCGAGTACAAGATTTGTGCTCATTGTGCTTGTTTACTATGCCAAGCAGCACAAAATGGATTAAGATTTTTCTGTGAAAGTATTAGTGGTAGTTAGGAAGCCTTGAGGTCAAGTTCTTTCTTTATTTTTTGTTAAGTTAGGCCAGATTCTGAAAATAGCATTTAGTTATTTTTTTAATGTCACAATGTGTACATATTGCTTTATAGTTTTATATTAATGTTAATGATAATATAAAAAAGAATTTCTTTGTTTTTGAAGCAAATACATACTTTTTTTTTTTGTTTGCTGAGTATTTTTAGTCTACTTCGAATGATTTTGCTTTTTGCAGTTGCAAAGCAGTCAGAGAATTTCAGAATCTGGGGCATGGGAATGTGGCACTTCCTTCAATATCATTTCTGTGTAAGATGAGAGTCAAAGGGAGATATGTAAGTCCATCCTTCTTGCAGCTTTGGGCAGTGGTGGGAAAAAATAATGCAGCTTAGAGAAAAAGCAATACACTTTTGGGACATGCTGAATGATAGCTGAGCTGTTTTTGCAAAATGTCAAAAAGTGGAATATAATGTTTTGGTGAGTTATGTGCAGTATCTGCACCATGAGGAGTAGCTCCAAATCCACCTTGCCTGTGAGAATAAAAAGATTTAGCCAAGTCATTTGAAAGTCTTATGGCTTGGTTTGTTTCTAAGTACTTATAAAAAAAAAAAAAGAAAAAAAAAAGGAAAAATGAGTGCATTCCTGTGTGAGCTGGTTATTTTGACTTATTTTATGGTTGTTAATTCCTCATCTCATCCCCTAGAATCATGATTCCTCAGGTCACTGTATCCTTGAGGCAAATAGCAGATTACATTATTCAGAAGGCACCAAATGAACATTTGGAAAACAATACTCTTTTCCAAACTATTTGTAACCTATTAGGCATTCTGTATGATTTTAATTTAGGATATGGAGATTAGCTGGGAAATAGATAAGTGTGTTTGTAATTCATAAACTTTGAACACTGCTACGCCTAAAGGGAATGCATGATAAAGTCTGTTTCACCTTCCACCCCCAAAGCAATGGTGGAATGTGTTTTTTTTTCCTAGTCTGAGGATCTATAGAGATTGATTTTTAAAAAATAAATAGCAGTGTTAGGGTTTCCTTCCTATCTAGGAAACATAATTTTTCTTGATACTTTATATTCTAGAAAAATAGAAGACAGTCAATTTCAGGGATCGTAACAGGTGCTATTAAATCAATGTGTGAGATTGCACACTTGATACCTGATATGTACATTTGTCCTTTGAATTTCTTTTCTGGGTAGGAAAATTTGTGTCTAGAATAGACCTTGTGATACTGTGGAAAACATATTTTTATTGTGCTAATTAGAATGCTTGACCTCTATAAATGGTGCTTAGTTTAAAGCCAAAACGGACTTATGCTGGAGATGAGTCTGGTCCACACTAAGGAAGCATAAAATATAACAAAATAAGGAGAGAGGAAAAAAAAGGCAGCTAATTATAGCTAATTAATACAAGCAGGTTAGTACGGCGAAGGAGGACTATGTTATTGATTTCTATTGCAAGTTATAAAAGAAGTCAATAGCAGCATGTGGTCAATAAATGTAGAAACTGATGAGAATTTTAAGATTTAAAGCTCAGAGTTAACCCATAATTAGAAAAAAATATATTATTTGTGCCCAAGACATTTTCAGTATGATGTTTCTCCTTGTCACTTCCCATTCTGTAATGGTGGGGGATGCACAATAGCTTGGGGTAGAAGGGGCCTCTGGAGCCCATGTGGTCGCAGTGCACGTGGGGTGCGGAGGAGCTGCAGCCCGAAGGAGGTGGCTCAGGGATTGCCCAGTCAAGTTTTGAGCATCTCCAAGGATGGAGACTGTACAACTTCTCTGGGCTACCTGCCCTGTTCTTAGGCTAGCCACATTGTGAATTATTTTTTCTGACCTACTTGGAATCTCTCATGTTGCAAGTTGTGCCCACTGCTTCTCATCCCTGCAACGTGCACTTCCAAGAAGAGTCTGTCTCCATTCTCCCCATACTGTGCCTGGAGAGCATGGATTACCACAGTTAAGATACCACCTTTGTCCCTTCTCAAGACCGAGGATTTCTTAAGACAGAAAAATTCTCTGTCTGCCATTCTCTATTTTCCCTGTACATCATTTGAAAATATACAATAAATAATCTCCTTCAGTAAGGTAAGTTTGTGGCACTTATACTGAACTGCTCTGAGGAAGTGTGACATAATGGCTGAGAGTGGGGGGCAACACCTCTGCCTTCCCACAGCACTCGTGATACTGTGGCGGCCTGCTGTTATTTTTGCATTCTTGACAGCTCTTGAAGTCTCATACAAAATGCTTATTATTTCTTCCTGTAATGGCAAAGAAGCTGGATGGAAGGTAATTATGCTGAAGTTATAAGCTCCTTTTATTTATATTTGAATTTCTTCAAAGGGGATAGGTGGTGAATAAGTCACTAAAACAAACAAACCTCAAAATAGTGTTAATCTTAACAGCTTAACATATTTTAAGAGTTATGTCATGACATTTTTAAAAATTGGGTGGTGTCCTGTACTGCTAATAATAAAAATGTTTTAGCAATGAATAAAAACGGATTCTGTTTTAATCAGTGTGCATATTCCAGGATGCATAACTGTTCTAAAACTCACAGGATCAAATTCTGCCCTTGAAGTCAAGGGAAAGATTTACATACAAGTTAGAAGACAGACTTTGGTCCATACTATTTTGTTTGGCTTTTATTTATGATGATTCATATTGGAAGAATTTGTGAGGGAACATACCAAGTCAGAAAAACCATCTTTAAAGGTGTTCTGAATTGCAGATAATATTTTAAAAGGTAGAAATATTTTTATTAATCTTTAGTGTGGATAACAACTCAATTCTGTGCTTAGATAAGAAAAAGTGATCTGTGTGTTATCAAAACTGTAGCATGTGTGATCATCCCTTAAAAACAGGTTACATGTTCAGTTTATACTTAAGGGTGTAGAGTCAGAGTTTGCTTCAGAGAGTTTGCAATGCTGGCAGTCTAGCCTATGTTCCTTCTCTCTTTGCTTTTATACTAGAAACCTCTGGGTTTTTGAGATTTAAGTAGATTTCCCTGAACTTGAAAATGTAAGTTATTCAAATGGTTCATTGGAGATTTCCCCATCCATGCGTGGTTGGTTCCAAAACTTCTTGCATGATATCTTTACAGTAATCTTTCCATTCCAGTAGCATCTTTGTGTGGTTCTGTAGCTATTACTGTCAGCTTTCAAGAGCCCAGCTTGATCTCTGTTGCAGGTTTTTCATGGAGCCTGAGGCTGATGTAGTTGACTTATGCAGGTGGGCTAGGCAAGAACAGTGACAAGAGTATCTTTCTATTTGCAAGCATTCCTTTCCTCAGGCAGTGGAAAGGATGGATTGTAGCAGATAATTGTTTGATACCTTTCACCTTTTTGCAGTGTATGATGTTGCAATTAATGTAATAATTCTTAGTGGAGTTTCTGCTCTATTGTTGTTGTAAATCTTAACGAATCCTATAATACTGTCTTCTCAGTATCTTTGAGCATGATGGAAGATACAGATTCTATATGTTATGGTTAGGAGCTGATGTGCAGAAATAAAAGCCAATTGGACTGTAAAGATAATTTTTTAAGAATTCTTTTAAGCAATGAGAAAACCAAAATAATTTAAAACTGTGTTGATGCTTAACTAGAAAAGGACAAAGGAGTATATTTTGCCAGTAGATTTCAGAAGTATTTCCTAAATGTCAAAGGAATATTAAGCCTTAAACTGGCTTTCATTTCCCAGTTTCTGCTGGAGAAGATGCATTTATGGAATATATACTATTCTGAATTTAATGCTAGACATTGGCTTTTTGTGTCCCTAATATCTGAATGATCCCTGCTGGTACAGAGAATTGACCTTGAAGTCTAGGATGCAACATAACTGCCAAGCTGTGGTTATGGTACATGCATGGTGTAGTCAACCTGTCCCAGCTGTAAGACATAACTGCCAAACTGTGGTTATGGTACATGCACGGTGTAGTCAACCTGTCCCAGCTGTAAGACATGAAGTGAATCACCTGAAGATGGACCCTTTCACACATTTAGACTATAAACTAAGAAGATAGATATGTGTGAATTTTCAGACATTTGCAATAGCCTATTTTCACAGGACTAGAAAGTACTAAATATCCTTTCCCCACCAAAAATACTTGCTTCCCAATGGATTTTAAGTCTGTACTGCAAAGCCAGAGCTTCCAGGTATGACAATAGGAAATATTTTATGTGCTAGGGAGACAGTTTTTCCCAATCCAATTCACAAACATTATTGAAGTTAAAAAAAATCATGATGAAGATTTCTTTGGCTTATAAACCTTCATCCTTGATATCTTTAAATATCAAGGAAAATATCCTTGATGCTTTCTATAAATCAAAAATATCTGAAAATATAATTATGTAATAGATGGGTGTCTGTCAGCCTCATAGGGCTTATCTGTGCTGTGTGTTGTCACTTTTTTTGTTTCCTCTTTCTGTCTAGTCGGAGTATTTTGTGATGCAATTTTTGACCAACATGTCTCCCAAGAGGCTGCCTCTATGTTCTGTATAACTGCATGTTAGGCGGTAGAAAGTTCTATTAGATTCCCACCCTCAGTCTCTTCAGACCCAGCAAAGCTGCTCGAATTTTCTTTTGTCACTGATGTACCTGTAGAAGTCTTCTTGCTACCCTTGACATCCCTTGCTAGGTTCAGCTCCAGCTGAGGTTTGGCCTGTTGCTGGCTTCATGTGCCTGGGATTCGCTTTGTTGCCTGTCCCTGTGTGTACCTCCTTTTTGTGTTTTTGCTATTCTAGACTTGCCTGTTCATACCAGCTAGCTTGCTGCTGGGCCTGCTCATTTTCTTCCTCAATGAGATGAACCATCCTTGTGCTTTAATGAGCTTTAATGAGTTTGTCATTGATTGACCAGCTCTCCTGCTTTCCTTCAGCATGAAGGACCATGAAATCCTGCCTGTGGATCCCTCAGCCAAGCCATGGTCCACTCTGCTACAGTCCAGGGTCTTTATTGTATTTGCCTCCTCAGTTCATGTTTTCCTGTCATGAAACATAAATGCTTACCGCTAGTATCTGTGGGTTGTCCCATCAGGATTGGGAACTGTTTGCAAATAAGCAGTCTACATGTGCTAGTATTTTAGTGATAAGATGCGTGGATTGCTTACCTGGAAGTAATATCTGGTTCTGTTATTAAAATAGATTTAATATTGATTTCCAGTTCTTTGAGTTTTCAATCTAAAATCCTAATGTCTTAAATAGTGTTTTAACACTTTTATTTCTAGGTAGCAAGACTTCCATGCAATGTATTTTATCTGATTTCTGTAATATATATATAATTTTATTAAATTATTATCATTGAATTTTTTTTTCTTTTTCAGATTACTTACTTCAGTCTGTGGTATTATAATAAGCAGAATCAGCGCAGATGGGTAGATTTGGACAAGCCTCTGAAAAAGCAACTAGACAAATATGCCTTGGAGCCAACTGTGTATTTTGGGGTAGTGTTCTATGTGCCTACTGTTTCTCCG